CAAAAACAGCTTACATAAGGAAACAAAAGAAATCATGGGCTACCAATCTTTATGACAGGTATTATTTATCTTATGTGGCCTCTTAATTCATATTTTCCATTCGTATTTTGCAGGAGTAGAATATGACATCTCTTGACAACCTGACGAGATGATTTGACGCCGTTTCGTATTTCTAATTTCAGTGGATCCATTCCCCAGGAAGAGTAAGGCACTTTCGAGTCGGGGGTCATCTCATTTTTCTTTTTAAATATCTTTTATCTTCGCAAAGACACGATGACCTGTGATTCAGAGTGGATAAACCAAACTTAATCCTATTTAGTCAGAATGCTATGTCTGTGTGGTATCCATGATAGACTGTGGCATGGTATCTCAGTGGGTAGACAATATAACAACGATGTAAGTCAGAGTTTGCACGAGCAAGAACACACACACACGTGCATTCACGTTGCCTCTGTGTAGTAATGTTGAAAACGACGTTAAACCCTTTTAACATCACCTCGATTCATCAACTGACAATCATTTTGATCTGTTTTAGAAGGGAGACTCGACCGGCGAAATCAAACCAGGAAAGAGGTTCAGGTAAAACCTGTTGATAAAATAGGATGTTATTCACACACATAAAAACATCAAAACATAATTTTTACACAACACTTTACACTTCATTTCGAACAGGTTGCTTGTTATCTCTTTCAAAACCTAATAGTATAGAGATTACATCTCGGTAGATATCTATCTGAGAGATTGTCAAACTCATTTTCACCTAGATACTTAAGATAACACATTATCAGTTTTTGTTATACACCTCGCAAATAGTTTTGCATCGATTCAAATGACACTGATGACTGGACTGTCTGGTCCAAACACTATAAGTTGTCCACTGGTCACGAGGGGCATGCTGTTTGATGTACCCTCGATTTTTGATTTTAACATAAACAAACATCGAGAGTACATTAACCCATTGGCCCCGAGGAACAAGTGAACAACGTATTTATCTTAACGAACACCTTAATGTTAATTTTGAATTGTTTGAAGCTTGGGTACAAATCATTTCGTAGCCATCGCTAGTTTTTGCTGACAACAAAAACAGATTTGGAGTTATCTCCCCTTCCGTCGATGTGCATTCGCAAAACATCGGTAATTTCCGCACATCATTACGTGATTCAATGTAATTCGAGATAAAGAATTATTACCACGACGTACCAAATGAGTTGCCATTGACAGCGGGGTACATTGAAATGTTACTCGCTTGTAAGCGGGGTACATTGAAAATAATAGAAGAGTGCTCAGCCAATCAGAAAGCGACATTTATGTGTGAGGTAAGATAAAATTATTTACAGACCGCCGCTAGATAGCTGGAACGTTGCTGAGTGCGGCTTTAAACAACAACCAGACACAACAGATACTTTTCAGAATGTTCATAGTTTACGGAATACATGCTCATATTAGATGTGAAGCTATCACTTGTATATCACTGCATAACTATTAGTGCCATCGCTGCACTGTTAACGGGTAAAGGACAGTGGTTACTCTTTGCTTAATTTTTTATTGAACAGCACATCCGTTGGAAGTTGGGGAAGTGTCATCATGTGAATCCAGTAATGACAGTAACGATGTATTTACAGTAAGTACTGAGCTGACACATTCCGCTATTTCTTGCGAAAGGCGCTAACATGTATACTTTTATATATTCTAAAATACACTCAGGGGGCTCCAACCATATGGTTCTTATATGTACTTATATGTGGGTTATCAAAAATGAGATATGCCAACAAGCGTCATTATATGAATGTGGACACAATTTGATTGCCTAAGTCTCCATTTTTGTTTTCGTGGCGGGTATGATGTCTTTGTTTTGGTTTTTTTTTTCTTGTTTTTACTGAACTTGAAAACTGGAGAACGACTTTTGAAACTACAAGAATGAAGATAGAAAATGTATCCCAGAAAAGCCACGCTTGTGGTTTAACTGTCAATGAGGGTATAAAAGGTTCATTCGACATGACACAGAGCTGCACTCGTGCAAGTGCATGAATTGTATAACACTTCCATTTCTTTATTGTCTCGCTATATTGTCTTGTCAATATACAATAAATCAGTCTTGTTACTGATAACAGTCACCGGATCACCACGGGGCGTTAACGGACTCCCCCGGCCCGCCAACGTGCCTATTCAGCTGCATGGCAGTATGGCCATGATGTTGGTCCTGGCATGACCAGAAGAGGATCTTGCTGCTGCCACGCCCAGCTTCAGTACCAAGCTTCTAGCCAAAGCGTCCCGGACATACGACAGACTGGTAAGAAAACACAGTGTAGGAAAGTGGCGATTTACGCTCTTTTAGCTTTTAACCAGCAATATCACGGCGGGGAACACCAGACATGGGCTTCACACATTATAACCTTGTGGGTTACGAGCAATGCAAACACTTTAACCACTAGGCTAACCCACCACCTCAAATGTCACAAGTGTGATATATAAACTTCAAGAAATATGTCTAAACTTATGTGTGAATTAAGATTTTATAAAGCTGGGTATAGATCCTTAAAAGGTAAGAGTTTAAATTCATATACTGTTATTGAACTTAAGTTGTTTCATTTAAAACCAAAATTGTTGATTTATTTCACGAATATAACGCTACCCTAGTGGGATGGACGAGACATTGATACATTCATGTGAGTTTTAATTAGGGCTGCGCAATATAACCGGTTTACCGGTATTAACCGGTTCAGACATGAAAACGATACGTATTGCGATACGCTGATCGAAAACCGGTATTTTGACATGCATTCGGAAAACTTCGTAACACTCGGAAATCTTGATGATTGTGGCAACTGTGGTAATGGTTGTGGGAATGATAGTGGTGAAAATTACATTTAACTGAGAAAAGCAAGATTTATTGATGTCAACTTCTATATTGTGAATGAAGTTGACATCCATAAATCTTGCTTTTCTTATGCATGCCACTTCTACATGCCCTTCAAAGATTTTAATTTTACTGGTTTGTTAAGTTCGGTTTGAAGTTGTGTTCTTAATTTTTGTTCAAGTGTTTCGCAATGTTTTGGATCAGAATGTTTTAAATATTTTGACCAATGATCCCTGATATGTCCTGACCAGGTCAAGTTGCTGTCTAAAATCTCAGGGCTTTTTTTGAGAGTGAAGAAAGTAGTTCAAACTAGTAACCTCTGAGTTGATGTTAAATTATTCTTTTCATTGCTCCATTTGTGCCAAATGTTATTTATATTCTTATTTTGTCATGATTGAAGGTTTTTATGAAAGCTTAATCAGGCATTGTGCCTTTGTTGTGTTTTTGCTTTATAAATAAAGCGTAAACTCGATTATAAGTAGTATATTGTAAAAAAATGGTTCTTATATTCCTCATTGCACACTGGAATAATGTATGGTTGATTCACTTCACTCAGAGTCTCAATTTACAAAACAACGACATTGCAGGAATCGTGACCAGTCATCCCTAACGCTTTTGAGCAGTACACACCTGTGAACTAAATCCCCGAAAAGGAGAGCATGATGTGTTTGTTCAATGTGACTGTATTGATAGGTCTTAGTAATGGATTTCTACTTTAAACATGTTTTCTACAGAGCCTCCTTTGGCTGGTCCTACGAGACGATGGGAGTCAGGTGAGTGTGTCACTGTTGGAAACATAGTGTAGATATTAAAATATAAGTAAATATACCTTATAATATATTGCCACTCAATATGCAAGTTTATCGAGCGTGGTGTATTGCCACGATACTTTAATTAATACATTGTAAGATTTAACGGGATGTGTCAAAACAGAACAACAGACAGTAAATGTTCACTATTCGAATGTACTTGTAGTTCCCATGTCGATCGAATAAATGGAAGCTAAATGTGAATATCATCTCATGTTCAAACTGTTTCAAATTGAATTACCTTTCTGAACTAGATCCTGCTCAAATCTATATGACAGGAGTAGCTGGGGGAACAGTGGATACGTCATATGCTGCAGGTATAAGCAGCGGCCCAGCCCATCAAGGTAATCTCTGGCCTTTTCATGAATGTTACATTGAATTAACACTAGACGTTAGAATTGGTCCTCAGCAACCCATGCTTGTCGCAAGAGGCAATAACGGGATCGGGAGGTCAAGCCAACTGACTTGGTTGACACGGGTCATCATATCGAAGATCTTTATGTCAATAACAGGGTTGTCTGGTCCCGATTCGTTATGTATGGATCTGCGTCACAAATCTGAAATATTGTTGAATGGCGTAAACAACAAGAAAACAAAAGGTATTACGGTTAAGCATTGCAATGTTTTCCAACGATCCATTCCTAAAAGTTTCACCGCAATGTTTCCTGTTTATTTTTTCAAATTTGTGGAGTTTGTTTCTGTGGGTAATCAGCACTGTTTATTCCATGGCGTCGACGTTCATATTTGAACTATTTTTATGAATCTACATCTGTTTTCAAATAGGAAATGTCATTGTCAACAACTTCACGAGACCAACAGAAGCAACAAGCAATTCAGATATGGACTCGTGTTCTGGTATGTTCTGTAAACTGACAATCAACACATCATGACTATAACCAGAGGCAACATGCAATTTTTACTTTGTCCATTATAGAGCAAATAGATTAATATATTACCAGCTTGCAAATTTCAATATTTTGGTTAATATATTTAGCCCTTACAGCGTCAAACGTTTTATTTAATTCATGGATTATGAGTAGACATATTGATCTTTTTCGGTATCAATACTATCTATTTGGGGTTTGGGGTGTTTAGGTTACATCATGTACTTGTATATTAGAATGTTGCAATATCGGAAGTAATATTCATCTTCTAGAAACAACACACATCAATATTAATTATCTATATAGGCTTTAGCCGTGAAATCGCGGATCAGAATTGGTCTTCAGTAAGCCATGCCTGTTTTAAGATGCGACTAATCGACCACTGTTCGGGATCGGGTGGTCAGGCTCGTTGGTTTGGTTGACACATATCATCGTATCCCATTTGAGTAGATCGATGGTCATGTTCGTTGATCACTAGATTGTGCTGGTCCAGAGTCGATTATTTACAGACCCCCTGCAATATAGCTGGGAACAAACAAACCTATGTTTTATTAAATGTTCGCATTAATAGAAAGTATATTCTACGTTTTGTGTCCCAGATGAAGATAACAATGATTGCAACGGGGACATCAGGAACGAGCTGAAGAGGACGTTTATGTACTACAGGGAGGACTTTGAACTTCTCTTGCAGCAGGCTGCAGGGATCCTTCTGCTGTACATCATCCTGCCGGTCTTTGTCCTAGGATGCATGACTGTGCTGGCAACAGATGCCCCACTCATCAAGTTCGGGGTTCTTGTTCTGGCAGTGTTCGTCTCTAGGTTCACAGTTGTACTTAAGTAGGGATTGACGTCAGTCATTTTCTAAATTTTTTATTTGATATTCCAAATTTGATGCATCAGTGACAAAATTTATGTAATGCCCTATGTTGACTTATGCCACACGTTCCCGAATTAGTTCAGGTAAACAACTGACTCGATTTAGCATAATAAATATGTTTATGACGGGTGCCATCTGTGAGTCAGGATACGCTCATCTTTTCGCGAACACCTTTTATCATCACTATTTCATAGTGATTCATAAACACATCGTCATCGTATGCATAGTGGCAATCACTGGACTGTCTGGTCCAGACTCGATTTGTTTACATACAACATCGAATAGCCCTACTACTGCTGAAACAAATACATACTCATGATATGGTCACAATTGTACACTCGACTCTGCTTTTAGCACATATCTCTTATGAACGTGGAACGGGTTGTGTCGCTTTTATTCCACTATTGTAAATACGCACGCAGGATATTTTTCATTTTTGATCATGAAAGGTAAACACGCCTTTCTGGTGATGTTACATTATTAATTTTTTTTTTTAAATTTACATTTTGCTGCAACATGGCTCAAAGCAGCGTCATCTGACCAGTTAGCTTTGATAATCACAAATAATCACATGTCTACAAACATGCATTTGGTGTGATGTAGTTTTCCACATGTTTAACTCTAAGTACCATATTATTGTACGCGAATTCCCCAGATGGGTACAATGTGTGAAGTCCATTTCTTTGTCTATTGGTCTCGTAAACCTAGTGTGAAATAGGGGGCGGTGGGGCATCCTAACGGTTAAAACGTTCTCTCGTCACGCCTACGACTCGGTTTCGATTCTAGACATGGGTACAATATGCGAAGCCCATTTATGGTGTCCCTCGACGTGATAATGCCGGTATGTTTCTGCAAGCGGCACTCACTTTTAAGCAAATTGTATACAGAAACCATCACTATCAGCTTTCCTGTCTTGACATCTCTTCCCTAATGTATGTGTGAAGAACATTTCAAAGAAAAATCCCTCCACATATATGTGATGAAATGTGGAATCTATCATTTCCGATTATGGGAAGGACCATGGCGTGAGATAGTCGTATTTATGTCTATGATTTGATAATACCTACAGAAGATATTACACGGTCTCCTCTTGACAAATGTTAAATGCTATTTAACATAAAAATCATTTTGGTTTAATGTTGTAAAGAGGTTGGAAAATCGTTTTTAGACATATTACATATGTAACTCACGAACTATTAATACCCTTTACCACTTGTGGGATACATTTTTAAAAGTAGGCATTATGTATGGATGCATTTATTTAAAAAATACACCCCTTGAATGTAAACGTCTCTTCCCTTTCATGTCATTTCAGTTTACGTGCATACATAATACTGGCAGTTAAGCTGTATGCTAGTAGACGGAATTTTGACATTTTCGTTGGATGGAAGAGACAAAACATATGGGGCTTTTAAGTTTCTGGTTTCACGCCTGGGTCCTTTCAGACCGAAAGGTTCACGCTGAGGGTGAAAACTGTTCTAGATACAGATGTGATGGGACACATTATATGTATCCGTCACACAGTCCATTTTTCTTGATCGTTCACTTTAAAAACTAAATTTACTTCTATAGGCCGATGTTCGATTAGGCATTTAGAGCGTTTATGTTGCCAATGGGTGTGTTTACTGCAGTTAGTGAAGAAAGGTCTTTCCTTGTTGTCGTGAAGGTCATATGTCAACACAGGTGAATACATCATGAATTACATTCCAGAATTTTTTTTCTTGCGTTCTTACGGCTAAAGGCTGATTGCATAGTATTCGTTTTCATAATTCAGAGGAATAAGTGTATAATCTTTCCGAACTGATTTCAACAACAAATGTTGTGGATATAAGAAAATTCATTCTAATAACGTACTTTTTTGTTTCACCCCTTAAACAAATATGTAGTATAACTGAAAAATATCTGTGAAATACCAGCATAGATGTTAAGACAAGGAGTACACCAATCAAACTCTACTGTTGTTTCTATTAGATACTGTATATTAATGTGTTTTGTGAAATAAAATATTTTTCTTAGTCAGTGACAGTTATTTATTCAAGCATGTTTAACATCATGAAATAATTATACAGAAACTTGAATAACTTTGTTTCTTTTACCATATACGCACGGTATTATGATGTCATAATATGAGATAATAAGTATGCACATTAAAGACAGTTATTACATGTAAATATCTTCTTTGATGCAGACAGTAATCTACGCTTGATTCGGACATAGGCCCAAGCATACGTTGTATATTTTGACAATGTTAATTCTGGGGGTCGGGGGTCGGGGGTCAAAGGGTTAAATAACTAGTATAACATATGGCGGAGGACTGATAATTTCGTTTGTGTCACAGGCGCTCTGGATGCCAATGGAAACGGAGCTCGAGGTTCAAGATTGAGATGGAGCCGACAATCATGTGATTGTGCTTACGTACACCCTCACAACCAGGGCCTTAAAGACACACAAACAAACATTTCACCGATCCCGGATACCGAATCAATATAGTCGCTTAAAAACTCTAACGATAAGCAGGTTATGTTCAGCCGATTTCAGATCAGCTGGTGTTTTATGTTATATACAACCCACGTTTCCCATTTATAATTACCCGATGGAAACCTTGTGTGCTTCAAAAATTTAGAATTCCTTTGTTTGAGATGGGACATTGAATGCTGGTTGAGTGTCTGAGATCGATTTTCAACCAGCCGTTCACATATGTATATATTTTACGAACGCTTGTAATACCTTGAAAATCCGTCAGGATCTCAGCTGGAAATCTCTACAGTCACATTTTTTTATTGTCCTGAGGTCTATTTTCACAGAAATGTGAATATCTGTTATTTAAATTTTAACAGACACAATACACCAATATCGTAAGGTCTACAAAATCACCAGACTGAAAAATAGCCTGACAATGAGCCTACCTATCAAAGGGAGACAACCGTTAATGCTAAACTTGAAATCCAGCAAAATAATGAAAATCAACATTGATGTCATTTCAGTAGATCAGCGCACTTCAGATATCATATCAACGTGTATTGATTCATTAAACTCCATGCAGAGTGTGAACTGCGTTACTTACAGGTAAAACTGCGTATACCTACACCTGCAACGCGCACGGTTTGCGTGCGTGAATGGCGCTGTCGGCGCTCAAACATTACCCACAAACAAACTGGCTAACCGGGTTGGCGATGTACGTAATCACGCAACCATAATTGTGGCGTGGTCTGTCCTGGTCACTCGCTGTCATCACTGCCGCTGACTGAAATACAAGACGAGCTCCCGGAATGTGCTGGTTAACCAGATACTACACTTGGTAATATGGCGAGGGCGCGGGTTTCTTGTAATTTCGGATCCCAACAGCATTCGCCGACGAAATCAACGCTTTCTTTAGCAGAGACTACACTTCTCGGATTTTACCTCCACTTTAGAGATTTCAACAGTCGTTGACAACCACAAAACGTTACGTATCCGTAATATACATAGGATCCGAACATACACAACGGACGATCCGAAAACATGGAGATCCGAAATTACACCTGGATCCGAAAACGTGTGTTACCGCGAACCTGAAATCCGCGTTTTCATTCATCGCTTCATATTTGTGTGGCCCGCGTTCGCAGCTGGACTGTGTGATGCATTACTTTCACGAGATTACTACATTTGTACTTGGTGCCTTGCGTTGTAGTTGTTGTCTACACACTCCGTCAGCGTAAACACGTTGAAAGATTTCCAGTTACATCTTGGGAAGTCTGTTAAACACCCGGATCAAACTTTGCCGTCCCATACTCGCAATAAGAGGCGACTAACGGGATCGTGTGGGGATAGATAGGTCCAGATCTGTCACTCGGTTGATGCAATATGTATCGTACCCTACCTAGTTTCGTGGAGTGGTGATGTCAATCACATGACTGCCTGTGGTGCCCACAACACTGCCATATACAGTTGGAATATTGCTAAGCAAACAATCAAACAAACAATTCCGTATAGCATTATAACGTAAATTACCATTTCCAAGACACAATGTGCTAGAAATACAAAATATTAAGCAAGTAAACAATTTTATATTATTTACTGCGTTCAACTATGACTTCAGTGATAACATTCGAAATAACACTTATCTTTAAACCAAACGTTCTGAGTCAGCATTAAGTCAGGCACTACGTGCGAGGCAAATAAATACATGTGAGACATCAGTGGAAGGTTTTTGCACTTATCCCAAGAAAACATTTTCAGTCAGATGGCCTCAGAACAATCTGCATACTCTGCTTTCCTTTATATATTCTAGACTATACAGAAAGGAACGTACATGAATGAATTGAACAATATTGATAAATTTTTGGCAGTAGTCACATAATCCAATGGAGGATATATTTATAATAAATTAACTTTTTTCTGAAGACGGCAACCAATTCGAAAGTGAAGTAACTGTTATAACTGAATCGAGTTATAGTATCGACCGCTGTTGATGTACGAGTGATGAGGCTTAAACATTTTCCTCCCTGAATATGAATATATAGCGACACGTAATATATTCTGGGTGGATGTGTGTAGAAGCTATGTACGTTGTAAACAGCTTGTTTTTGGCCTTGACGACCACTCCCACATACTTGAATTACAGTGATGTAACAATATCGGCATTCATAAAAATCCATTATCGTGCATTGCATTGTATCTACCGAAGTGGGATGGGTACTTTATTCAATAAGGCTGTCGGACGTGCAGTATTACATGGGTGGTGGCGTATTAGAGTAATGGCTTTTGTGATACTGCTGAAATAAATCTATACTCATGGTACAGTCACAATTGTACTTTCGCACAGATTTCTTATGGGCGTAGAACGGGTTTTGTCGCTTCTATTCAGGGATTACGTCACGCCTGAGAACCAACTGCACAGTTGCCATGTCATGGACACTCAGCATCAAGTTACCTTTAAGAGATTATCAAAGACAGTGATTTCAAAGTGACCTAAGTTAACAGATTATCATCTGAGGAGGCGTGTTGTGGTCGACTGTAGTAACACTGTGATACACTGTGTGACTTGAGGTAAGACATGAGGAAAGACCTCCACATGAAAAATGCCTTCACTGTTGCCTGGGATGAGTTACAGCGTTCGAAATTAACGTCGGCCCATAGGGCAGAAGCCGACTGAAACCACTCGGACCCACAGCTTTTGGTTTTGGCAGGTCCTTATGGCCGGCAGTTTTTTCAGCCCCAATTACTAAGAGTGTTATTTCCACATTAAAATATAGGGCCTACACATTCTGATCAGGACCCACGACGTTTTATGGTTCTGGGACCATAGGGCCTGCAGCTTTTCAGGGGTAATGGCAAACACTGAAGAGGTGTCTTGTTGTAATGGTGATTGTATTAGTACACAGGTACTGTCAACTGTCTGTATGATATAACCCAAATCGTTCAGGGTTATAGTGATTATTCAGGTCAATAAACGAAACCATGCAATTAGCAATGATTGATTTGGTTATCGTATTCGTGTTGCATTCCAGTACACACTACTATCTAGATTAGAGTGGACATTTCAAAATTCGGAGTTGTGCATTGGGTCGAATGTGCGTAGCGAGGGTGCAAATTACTTTCTGTTAATGCAATAAAAACAATTTCCATAATGGCAGACCGCCTCCGTGGTGTAGTGGTTGGAGCGTCCACCCAGAGAGCGGGATATCGCGGGTTCGATCCCCGGCCGCGTCATACCAAAAGACGTTAAAATATGGTACTTGTTGGTCCCTGCCTGGCGGTCGGCATTAATGGGTACAACAAGGACTGGTAGGCTCGGAGTCAGTATAATGTGTCTGAGTGGGAGTATTCATGCTTCACTGCGGCATGACATCTCAGTGAGCTAGCACTATAAAACCAGCTTAAGTCTGAGCTAGTACAAGCAACCACATACACACGCATGCACGTCCTCATATAAGCGAAATATCCTTAATACAAGAATTCTTGATATCCCTTTTACAATTTCTATATACATATAGGCGGTGGGGTAGCCTAGTGGTTAAAGCGTTCGCTCGACACATGGAAGACACAGGTTCGATTCCCCACATGGACATAATGTGTGAAGCCCATTTCTGGTGTCCCGCTGTGATATTGCTGGAATATTGCTGGAATATTGAAACCGGTGTAACACCATTCTCACTCTCACGCACTTTTGTCGGGACCTGTGAATAGGTCAGAAAACGAAGACACTGCAGCGAATAGTCCCAGGGGATTTATCGCAACAGAATACTTTGAATAAACGAGAATGATGTTTGTATGTCACTCAGTCATAATTGTTGGTTTACAGGAAACAAAGAGTATCACTCAGCTATAAACAGTCGATGTGACCAGATCCAACAAGAAGAAGCTGATGATGTCAGAGAGCAAATCTACAAGGCTCTCAATGAATGGTCAAACTCATATGATGATGACTATGTCAAAATCGACAGTGTACTTGACACAATATATGATATGAATGAAAGTGACCAGACACTCTACAACGACGTGGTGCTCTATGTTGTCGCCTAGCATCACGGGAAAAGACAAATACATCAGGATCTGCTGTTTGATCAAATGTGACTTTTAGGGGTAGTTTTAGAAGGATACATTTTCAGTATTAGAATCTCGTCTGTAATAAGTATGATAGAGATGTCATTCGTTCGCCATTCAAAGTACTCATACTGTTTAACAAGTTTTGCCCTTTATTATTGCCGTTATTCATGTTATGTGAGTGAGTGAGTGAGTCTAGCAATCATCAATATTCCAGCTATATGGTGGCGGTCTGTAAATAATCGAGTCTGAACCAGACGATCCACAACATGAACATCAATCTACGTAACTGGGATACGCTGACATGTATCAACCAAGTCAGCAAACCTGATCCCGTTAGTCGCCTATTACGACAAGCATGGGTTACTGAAGATCAATTCTAACCCGGATCTTCATGGGTCTTCATTCTGTGTGTATACTGTAGGCGGGTGTAGAGATGCGTTCCCTTGTCTTTTCAGGATCCGTGAATTGACTCTTCAGTTCGATCCGTGGTTCATCAGCACTTGTTCTGGTGGCTTTGTCACGGGTGACACCGCTTTGTCACGGGTGACACCAGTAGGACACGAACCGCCCACCTTTTGGTGAAGACCAGACATCGTCAATATTCGATGCTACGGACGAAATCTGAATCACACTGGATACATATATATGCCGTCACCCGATCATCCTGTTGGTGTGACGTACATGTACAGTAGGTGTGGCAATATATACATCAAGCGATTATTATTATTATTATACATCAAGCGACCTGTTTCAAAACACATATCACCAAATAACATATATAATTCCATGGTATTCCTTGATCATGAAACATGTATAGATTTAATGTTGAAAAGTCTGCAATTGGTTGTTTTTCAATAAATACAATAAATCGATGTTATACAACAGTCCAAACAACACATATTGGATCTATTTTTACTGGTCCACAGGCGACATCATCGTTCTGTTGATATTTCGGGAAGTGAAAGAGCGGGAACATTGCGAAATAACGAATCAGCATATCAACATTAGTTTCAATAGACAACGCTAGTAATGTTTCACAAGGTGCGGCCGCCTTATTGTTCACGAGGTGGTTAAAGTACGTTTATTATGCAGCATGGGAGTGTTACATTCCAAAAGCAACAGCATTGATAGTGCGGTTAGTGACCCAAAAACATTGTGGAACCAAACTACAGCAGTCATAAAACTGGCGCTGAGTCATTGCACGTAATGCGCATTGCATACTGCATACGTGACTACTGACGTCGATTACCAAACCACCCATGACCTTCAGCTCGATACCGACGTTTATGTCATACCTCTATTCACAACAGAAAACAAAAACACGAACACGTTTCATCCTCTGCTTTCTTTAACCCTAGATGATCCGGTTGAGAATTGATTTTCAGTATCCAATGCTTGTCGTAAGAGCCGACTAACGCGATCGGGTGGTCAGGCTCGCTCTCTTGATTGACACATGTCATTGTATGCCAATTGTTGTAAATCGATGTTCATGCTGGTGATCACTAGATTGTCTGGTCTAGACCATTATTTACAGACCGCCGCCATATAGCTGGAATATTGCTGAGTGCGGCGTAAAACTAAACTTACTCACTCACTCTGGTGTCTTTGAAGATCTGATGTATCAGAATGCAAACATTTTCTGTCTTCAGAATTGTATTTTGACAGCTCTTACGCGAACTCTTCAAGTTACTATCGTTACGATGAATCGGCGACCTTTGACACAAAACGGCGTCCACATACGTTGAGATGTTGATTTCATTCAAATGGTTTGAAGTGCACGTGGTTTGAGCAATCATATATGTGTTGAAACTGGCGAGTATGTAAAACATCTTGTTGATCACTGCTGACGAGGTCATTTCATGTTTAAGTGTTGACGTTGCTGTGATAAAAATCAAAGCTGTATTTCTTCATCTTAGAGACCGTTCATAATTTATGGCTGGGGGGGTGGGTGTGATGATTTTTATGGAGGAGCATGTACAATGTGAATGCCCCCTAAAATTTATGTACAAAGTTAGCGACCCCTGCGTGTCATGTACAAAATCATTGACCACCCTCCCTTCCCATAATTTCTAAGCATAATTTTAAACATATTTTTATGTACAAAATTGCTGACCCCACTAGTACGTGTGTACAAAATTGATGACCCCTAGCTCTCCCAGAACAAAATGGATGACCCCTAAAATCATCATCAACACACCCACACACCCACCCCGCCATAAATTATGAAACGTCTCTTAGTGTTAAGTTTTTTCTTTCAGTCGGCATCATAACGGTAATATGCACTGTCAATTCGTCCCTAGTATGTGTTAAATTGCCCGTGTTTATTATATACCTATTTAAGAAATGTTGATAAGGGTATCATTCCCATGACTCCAACTGCTGGGCTATTCGTCACGCCTCGTTGGAATAACTGCACATGTAACTAGTCGTGTGGGCAACAGTATGCGATATCAGGATCAGTTGCAAGGTAAGCACCTGTTGATCTTATTTCTCTCAACGTACAATTCATGAGTCAATTGAGAACAAAGTTCAATTGATATGATATATGAGAGCACAAAACGGTGTGTTTACAGAGATGACATTTGACAGAATGACTCATGTATGTATAATACACAGGCTTGCGAGGTCCTGAAACATCGAATCATGTAGTGCGTCACATTATTTTCAGCATCAACGTTCAATGGGCATGATTGCGAATGTCGAGAATATCAACAAAGTACGTTAATAACAACAGGAAGTTTGAATGAGTAGTGACACCAAACAGATTTCTGTGTTACACCAACATTGTCGTTGTGACCTGTAGTCAAATATATTTCACGTCTTTGTTTTCAATGGCGGCAGTCATGCGGATACACAATACAACCTTGAAAGTAAAGTGGCCTGTTCAGGTTGCGCCATGACTTAGCAACGTGCAGATTTGTGTCACAGTTAGAGGGGCTGAGGTAGGACTGCCGTACAATACCCTGCATGTAACAGATATGAATATACTGTCTGGTAAAAGTCACTCTCACCCCAGCCCCCCACCCCCCCAGTCTCTCTCTCTCCTTCCGGAATTCTCTCTCTCTTCCGGAATTCTCTCTCTCATCTCTCTCTCTCTCTCTCTCTCTCTCTCTCTCTCTCTCTCTCTCTCTCTCTCTCTCTCCTTCCGGAATTCCCTCTCTCTGTCCCTCTCGCTCTCTCCCTGTCCCCTCTCTCTCTCTCCTTCCCTCTCTCTCTCTCCCTCTCCCTAAACATCAGGGTTGTGGTTCAAATCCCAGACACGCCCAGCGATACGTACGACGTCAGACCCATACCACGTATATGTTATTTTGAGCGCTGACCTCGCGCCAGTACAGCTTGTTATAACGCACAGGTTATACTGCAAGGTTATCTTGCACAGACAAAATAAACAGTCATACCTACCATCCGTGTTGAGTTAACATAGCTGTTATATACTCCTGTCACAGTTCCGTTGGTCACCGTACATTGTCACATTTAAATATCGTTCTACAATTTCAGAATAGCTGAATGGATTCTGTGGAAACCAGGAACAACCACGTAATACATAAAGACACTCACAGACATACAGAGCCGGGCACAACACTGATGTCGGTGTTGTGCCCCGGTCACAGAACCAGTTGTGCTGTCAGTATCTGCATGATCATCCTACTTACTTCATTGTTGTTACAAACGGCGGCGAACACAGCTCCTGTGAGTATTCAAGTCATTGTGAGATAATGCGATAATCATTTTCAAGGCTTAAAGTGTTTTTTAAATATTATCCAAATTCCACTGTACACAGCGTAATAGAAAGTTCACATCGTCATGGATTTTTGATCGAGTAGGGATGAACGAATCTTCCATGTAAGACAGATCACAGTTTGACAATCTTGAAATCTCTGCAATGCATATCGGGATATCTGCTTCTTCACCAATAATTGTGGATGAAAAACAAATATTAATGCCGTTGTAATGTTACATTAGAACGTAGATCCCTTTCCATTGACGATAATCAAAACTGGAATCATTTTGGTTTTACGCCGCATGCAACCATATTCCATCTATATGGCGGAGGTCTGTAAATAATCGAGTCTGGGCCAGACAATCTAGTGATCAACAGCATGAACATGGATCTAAGCAATTGGGATACGATGACACGTGTCAACCAAGTCAGCGAACCTGACCACACGATCCCGTTAGTCGCCTGTCACGACCAGCATGGGGTACTGAAGAACCCCATGTTCCCAATTGCGCAGATCGATGCAGATGTTGTTGATCACTGGAATGTCTAGTCCAGACTCGAATATTTCCAGCCCGCCTCCATATAGCTGGCATATATTTGGAGTGCGGCGTAAAACTAAACTCACTCAGCCAACCTGACCACCCGATCCCGTTAGTCGCCTCTTGCGACCAGCGTGGGTTACTGAAAATCAATTCTAACCCGGATCTTCACGGGTTTAACCAAAACTGAAATATGGTAATATAACTGATACATGACACAGGTCTCCTGAAGAACGTAATTTGGAATAATCTGCCTCCTACTATCACTGCGAATAGTGATTCCATGCAGTGGTAACAAATGTGAACACAAAAGTCAAAACCCCTTTCCATCATTGGTGTGATAAAAGGCTATTTCAATTTCCCTGGATTTTAGGAAATTGATTAATTTAATTTAATTTGATTTACATTTTTTTTAAAATTTGCTTTGATGACGGAATTGTTCATGTTCACATTTTTCAAACAGGCTTTGTGTAACCTATCAAATCGGATCCGACAACACATTCTAGCGTTGCTTATGCATTTGATCTGATTGTAAGTAAAACATAGTTCTGAGAGGAACAAACTCGTCTACTCGTAATTGATACTGAAAGGTCATATACGAATGCTGATACCTAAAGACAAAACAGGTGACCTGTCACCTATTGTCAACCATTTATCTCTAGCAATGTATGCATACCTATGAATGAACCAAGAATAGGGTTAGAATGGACCTTCAGCAACATATACGTGTCGTGGGAGAAGCCGTTGGGGATCGGGTGGTCAGGTGTACTGACTTGCAGACTTTGTTGATTCATGTCATCGTAATCCTATTGCGTAGATCAATGTTCATGACGTCCATCACTGGATTGTCTTGTCCAATTATTTACAGAGCGCCGGAATAGCTGGAAAGCGCTGACTGTGGCGTTAAAAAAACGCAAACAAACTATAATTGTAACGAGAAGTGTTTTGTATTTTTTGACAATTATATCATGTTACAGTCCGACTGTATATTTTCTCACCCTGTCTGTTTCAGGACCCAGGTGGCCTAACCACATACACACACGGCGAGAACACATGCATAAAGTGTAAACCTGGAACATTCCTCTACAAACACTGTTCGGCTAACTTCACATTCTCGGTGTGTCATCGATGTCCGCCTCAACACTTCCAGACACATCACACCCAGGCCACCCGCTGTGCACCCTGCCACGCCTATTGTCTCCATGACCGGAACATGGTGCAAGTCCAGGGGTGCTCTGCCACCCATGATGTGTTGTGTGAGTGCCGGGACGGATATTTCCAACAAACACAGGGGGTGGGGCACGCAGGGATACGTTACTGCTCCCCATACACGCCCTGTCAACCTGGCCAGGTTATAGTGAAAACCGGTAAGTGCTTAAGTGAGTGACTTTAGTTTTACGCCACTGTTAGCAATATCCCACCAATATCACGGCGGGGGACACCAGAAATGGGCTTCACACATTGTACCTATGTAGGGAATGCAACCCAGGTCTTCGGCGTGACGAGCGAACGCTTTAACCACTAGAGTGCTCGGTAAGTGCTTAAAAGTCACAATGTATATCTGTTCATCCGTGACCATCTGGAGGCAGACTAAGGTGCAGTTAGTCACCTTTCCGTCTTACGTTATCCTGGTGTTGTACGTCTTGCCCTGTCTGACTTATGCCTTGTCATGCAATGTCACGCAGTGTTATCGATGCCCTTTCTTGTTATCCTGGGGCGGTGGGGTAGCCTAGTGGTTAAAGCGTTGGCTCGTCATGCCGAAGACCCGGGTTCGAATCCCCACATGGGTACAATGTGTGAAGCCCATTTCTGGTGTCCCCCGCCGTGATGTTGCTGGAATATTGCTAAAAGCGGCGTAAAACCAAAACTCAGTCAGTCAGTCAGTCCTGTTATCCTTTTCTTGTTTTATCCTTATGTTTTGCTTAAAACAAACCATGCTGTGCCATGCCATACCACCATTATTTTGTTTTATCCTTGACTCATTTCATTTGATACGTGCTGTGCAGTACATTGCCTGGTTGTGCTAAGCTAGAACAGACAGCATTCGTTCGTTAAAATGCTCCCAATTGCGTAGATTGATGTTCCTGCTGCTGCTCACTGGATTGTCTGGTCCAGACTCGAATATTTACAGACCGTCGCATATTGCTGAATGCGGTGTTAAACCAACCAACCAGCCAACCATTACACAGCTCTGTCTCTTCCTTTATGTCTTCTTGTATTGTCATCTGTTTTTCGTATCAACTAAATTTATGTTTTTTATTCAGCATATTTGTTCCGATCGGCCGTCCCCTATAGGAAAATACACAGACCAGATTGTTCCTCACGTATCATTGATTGTAAAGTGATATAATAATATAATTCCTTTTAATGCATCTAGGTACTAAGGAATCTGACCAAGAGTGTGGTCACTGTGCCTCAGGATATTTTGTCGAGGGAGGTAACTGCAAACAGTGTTCGTTTTGCGGCGAAAACTCCACAGTTCTGAGTCGCTGCACTCATAACACAGACACCGTGTGTTCAGAGCCAGATGTGGTACAGTCCGAGGGTATGTGAAAATGTCACCTAGGATTTGAATTTAGGGAACATATATACTCATGCCAATAATGGTTGTCACCCCCTTCAATTTTTTTAATTGGAGAGGGGGTGTGGGTGTGGGGTGGGGAGGGTGGTGACAACCATTATTGGCATGAGTATATATAAGAACTGACAAACCGGTACTAAACAGTTTAATCTTCTCAGACATTTATCTTTTTCATTGTACGTTGCCCATTGTACATTGAGACAATGGAACAAGTGGTTAATAGTCAGTGATTCGACATATAGTAAACTACGGTTATTGCGAACTCAGAGGGACTATTTTCGCCCGTTATGACCCGAGTTCGTTATTCGTATTTCGGCTAAACAAAATAATATAAAACCTGGCCATGACACACAAAAAACAGTTCGCCAGTTCGTTATAAGCGTGTATACTGTAAGTGTTCGTTTTAACCATACTTTACTGAATATATTTGTTGCGGGGGTCACCAAAGGTGCCTTGGATTATGACTGTCATCATACATATGGACAAGATAGATGTCACATGTGCCAAGGTTAAATGATTCAGATTGTTTATTCCAATTTGAAAACTCAAATAAGACATTCAATTCAGTTTTGAAGAATATCAGTGTGGTGCCTCATGAACATAACCATATATATATCTGTTTTAGAAAAAGATGATATTCTTCAAGAACAGTATGAACATCATAAAACGACCAATAACCTGTCAGTGCTGATACCTATTGGGGTGCTTGTTTGTGTCTCCTTGAGCATATTGGCAGCTTTGTGCTTCTTATGGAAGAGGCATTCAAGGAACAGCTATCTCACAAAGGACAAAACCAGCAGGTATGATGTGGATGAAAAAAGTGTACTATTGCACATTCCTTTAAGATGACAACTCGACAAGTTGACTATGGTATTGTTTTCTTCTGCTCTACTGCCACTACTTATTTTAATGTATTATAGATATAGGATTATTTACTGTAACATTAACATTACACAAAGCATGCTTTGTTTTAATGTAGATTAGGATTATTTTAACATGTTATTGTATTATGTAGATATAGGATTATTTACTTGTAACATTACAAACGTTGTCTTGATGCATGCTCCAAACATTTCACAATTATTGGTTCATGTATACTGCCACTACGTTGTTTTCATGTAGATATAGGATTATTTACTTGAAACATATCACAAAGCATGTTATTGGTTCATGTATACTGCCAATACGTTGTCTTCATGTCGATATAGGATCATATGTTTCACAAATATCACAATGCATGTTATTGGTTCATGTATACTGCCAATACGTTGTCTTCATGTCGATATAGGATCATATACTTCACAAATATCACAATGCATGTTATTGGTTCATGTATACTGCCAATACGTTGTCTTCATGTCGATATAGGATCATATACTTCACAAAATATCACAATGCATGTTATTGGTTCATGTATTATGTCAATACGTTGTCTTCATGTCGATATAGGATCATATACTTCACAAATATCACAATGCATGTTATTGGTTCATGTATACTGCCAATACGTTGTCTTCATGTCGATATAGGATCATATACTTCACAAATATCACAATGCATGTTATTGGTTCATGTATTATGTCAATAATCCCAATGCATGTTATTGGTTCATGTATACTATACGTTGTATTCATGTCCACTCCAAACATTTCACAATGCATGTTATTGGTTTGTACGTTGTCTTCATGTCGATATAGGATCATATACTTCACTCATTACACAAAGCATGTTATACTTTGTCTTCATGTCGATATAGGATCATATGCTCCAAACATGTTTCACTAATGCATAGGTTATTGGTTCATGTGGTTCTGCCAATACGTTGTCTTCATGTCGATATAGGATCATATACTTCAGAAATATCACAATGCATGTTATTGGTTCATGTATGCTGCCAATACGTTGTCTTCATGTCGATATAGGATCATATGCTTCACAAATATCACAATGCATGTTATTGGTTCATGTATACACGCCAATACGTTGTTTCACATGTCGATATAGGATCATATGTTTTACAAATATCACAATGCATGTTATTGGTTCATGTATACTGCCAATACGTTGTCTTCATGTCGATATAGGATCATATGGACAATGCATGTTATTGGTTCATGTATATGCCAATACGTTGTCTTCACGATATAGGATCATATACTTCACAAATATCACAATGCATGTTATTGGTTCATGTATACTGCCAATACGTTGTCCACATGTGGATATAGGATCATATACTTGACAAATATCACAATGCATGTTATTGGTTCATGTATACTGCCAATACGTTGTCTTCATGTCGATATAGGATCATATACTTCACAAATATCACAATGCATGTTATTGGTTCATGTATACTGCCAATACGTTGTCTTCATGTCGATATAGGATCATATACTTCACAAATATCACAATGCATGTTATTGGTTCATGTATACTGTCAATACGTTGTCTTCATGTCGATATAAGATCATATACTTCACAATGCAAGTATCACAATGCATGTTTCACAAATATTATTGGTTCATGTATATCGTTGTATTCCTGTCGACATAGTCATGGGCGTGTATATCGTTGTATTCAGCCTCTCACATAGTGAATGTAGCCTCTCACATAGTGAATGTTTTAATGAACATATAAACGAAATGCAATCTTCCAGAATAACATGTCATCATTTTATTTTTGCAATTTCAGTGCTGATCCCTTGTTGCTGGTTTCACCACCGCAAACAACAGGTCCACCTCCACAAGAAACGGATGCTCCACCTCCACAAGAAACGGTTCGCCCTCTGCCAGAAACTGGTTTATTGCTCAACACAACACAAATGCAGGGTAGAGACTTCTAAGAAGGCGATCATCAATACAAGTTCTTCCTCTACAGTCATTCCTGAGGCCCAGCGTCTATTTGGAACTAAAAGGTAGCCAACTCATCACACCATAAAGAAGCACTAATCTTAAAGCTTTGAAATATATTTATTGTAAGGCAGACGTCTTTCTGCAACATCACATTGAGGTGGAAGTCATCCCCAATAGTCAATATTGATTTGGTATGGGTAATTAAAATATTGACTGAAGTTCCTCGCGTCAGTCGTTTAAAATCGTACCAATGACGGATACCATTCTATTGACAACTACTTAAGGTGCCAAGAATGGCATTCAGCAAATGTGACTGGAAAATCAAACTCAAATTTACCAACTTTGTCAGAAGTTGATTTTGGGTGGGTTGTTTTGGAAGGATATATGAACAAGAGAATACATTTGGCACAAATATTTGTCTGTCATAAGAAATGTCTAATTAAATCACGGGATTTTTCTTCTGACCAAGAATCTGTATTCATCAAATGGCCAACTGCAAGAAACTATTTATGAATGGTTTGTGCCTGAAAGGTGTCGTATGCTTACCTGTATGTCTGAAGCCCAGGACTAGTATCAACAGAAAATTGTTCCTGAGATGATGCAGCTAAATCTTGATGCATCTCTGTGTTTATGGGTAGGTCTGTTAAGTCCTGTGTGCGGTGGGGTAGGCAAGTGGTTAAAGTGTTCGCTCGTCATGTCGAAGACCCTATTTCGATTCCCCAAACGGGTACAATGCGTGAAGCTCATTTCTGGTGTCTCCCACCATAATACTGCTGAAATATTGCTAAATGCGACCTAAAACTATACTCACTCACTGTTAAACACGAAACATTCAACCGGTTTTCTGCTGAAATATTTACTGACAGAATGCGACATTCCTATTATGCTTCGGCTTGGCTATTGTTGGTTTCCTGTTTTACGCCGCACTCAGCAATATTCCAGCTATATGATGACGGTCTGTAGATAATCAAGTCTGGCCCAAACAATCCAGTGTTCAATAGAATAAACATCGATCTACGCAGCTGGAATACGATGACATGTGTCAACCAAGTCAGCGAGCCTGACCATCCAATCCGGTCAGTAGCCTCTTGCGACAAGCATAGTTCTGACCACAGGCCTATAGTGTCTTTGCGAGGATTAAAGATGTTATAAAAATATTTTAAAAATTAGATGACCCCCCGACTCGACATGATTCACAGTACAATGCATTATGTATTGGATTTCGAGTCGGGGGTTATATCGACTTTTCATACTTTGTAACATCTTTAATCCTCGCAAAGACACGAAGGCCTGTGGTTCTGACCAGGACCTTCACGTGGTGACTATATACCGACTAGGATATACCGATATACCGACATTTCTCAGGTCTACTATTTAACTTTTTACTGATAAAATGTGATATTCCATTTGGATTCGTGTTGTCCTCTTGAATATATAACTACTGTTCCATCACTACACTTGTATTGTGGACCTATTGCAGATCCATCGTCCTGGACTGGACCCATCTTCAAGATTCTATGTGCCCATCTGACTGGAAACTGGAAAATGTTCATGCGAAACTTGCCAGGTAAGATCTACATTTACCTTTTCCAAGTGAACTTACAATAGCTGACCGGTGACACGTGGATGTACCGCTACAAGGACAAACTTCCTTTTTAATCCTGCAGGTCGAAACCAAAAATATTTCATTTATCAATTTAAATGACAAAAAGGAAAGACATTAGTTTATTCAAACATTACTGCCGTCATTACGGGGAATAATGTTCTAGGTTTTGGTGTTCTCATAACAGAATACCAATAATTCCAGTGATAGAATGTCTTCATTATTTCCCTACAACGACCTGGAAATAATGTGAATAATCTGATCGTGATACAGGCTCTCCTTCCTTTATCACACACAAAGCCTACAAATCCCATGCTTCATGTATATTCATCCCTCTGGATACATCATCTGTTGAGGACAGGCCTGTTTTAATGAGGTTAGACGGTACACTTGTTAGGAGATAACATCATATGTTGGCCAATTTCCGGGTGTTATTGAGTATTTGAAGCACGGGAATTCATTTGGAACCGACGGCGTCAGCCGGGGTTTCAAATAAAAATATTCCCGTGTGTATATTTTAGTTGAAAGGTGTACAACGAACTACAATTAGTGGTTCCTTTGAGTTCGTAATAACCGGATTTTCTGTATTTCCTGATTTTGTAGGTGACGAAGACTACAAATCGTCAATTCACGCGCGATGTGAACAGATTTGTGACGAGGTCAGAAACAACGTGCCGGAACAGATCTACACTGCTCTCAGAGAGTGGTCACAAGCAAATGTGTACCCAGATGTGTCTGTGGAGAGCATTCTAACTTCATTGGAGACAATTCGAGACGCTGAGGATGTGCGGAAAAGGGTATCAGAAGCAGCTCTGAAGCTAAACGAAAACCACTCAAAAGAATGCAAAGCTGAATAGACTGTATATTTTAGGCCCATTGTTGTGATTCAAATCCAATCACAAGATTATCTGGTCGTTGATCGCCGAACGTTTGTAATTATAACGGTTTGATCCTTCACTCACCCATGATGCCGTAATTATCCTTACAAAACAAACAAGAAACATCATCTTAATAATTGTACTTAGTTTGTTCCAAATCTACTGGTCCAAACTTTGGTGTAACCATCTTATAATGCAAATCCCTTCCTGATCATACGTACAATACGCTTAACTACCATGGATGTTCATGCTGCTAATTTTAATCCAAATTACAACTGTGATAGGTGCATTTACAGTCGGGGGCCACGTTCCCCAAAGCGATCGTAGCGCTTCAACAGTCGTAATTCTATGTTAAAACTATGGAGTTACGATCGTCTGAGTTACGATCATTTTGTGGAACGGAGTCCTGAGCTCTTACTAAAAACTAAACCTGTGAATGCATAATAAAACGTTGTTATTTGTGCCTTTCAACTAAATTAATCAAGGGCCTAGATTTTCGAAGCTCTCTTAGCGCTAAGATAGTCGTAAGTGCCATACATTAACATTAACTTACGACTGTTTTAGCGCTTAAGAGAGCTTAAAATCTAGGCCCTGCATATGATATATTTGGTCTGGCAGAGCTCCAGATTTAGCTCATGTGGGTACAAAAATCCCACCATTTTTTGGAGTGGGGTATTATGAATGTTGAGTGGGTATTTCATTTTCCGTTACCCACTGCTTTCAAATATGTGTGTATTTCAGTCATTTTACTCACCTAAGTATTATGTGACTGAGTAAGTTTAGTAAGCAGGTATATTCTGCCTTATGTCATACCTAATCAAAACCAACTTACATATATAATGGAAATGATTTCATAAAAATCACTCATCCTATACTGACAGTACAACTTGATAGCAATCGATGTCTTTTCATTCATATCTCTTTTCATTTTATATAATATATTCCGTACGCATTTGTTTTAACTTTTGCGTATCTAACATTTTAAATGCGTAATTTGTACGCAACAATTATCTTCAATGCGTAATTGGAAATTTTGTATGCGTATTTTTCCCGGATACGCAGCTTATCTAGGGCCCTCACTGTTGAATTTGATTACACTTTCTTAGTAAAGTACAAATTCTAGTACTTTGTGGGTTGAGTAGCATCCGGATTCGAACCCACACCCTCAGAGTCAGGCACCATGTCCCTGCGCACAAAGTCAGCCGTCTAAAACGCTCAGCTCGTGAGTGAGTTAGACGGCTGACTTTGTGCGCTGGCAAGTACTAGAATTTGAAATTTACTAAGAAAGTGTAATCCCAAATATAACATATGTTGCATTTGACCACTTTCTAAATGTCATTGTGTAGTCATACATTACAATCGATACATCCTATCCAGATATTGTTCACAATGACTTTATCCTTAACTCTTTAATATTCATTATATTTATTGTATCGCATTTATTTAATGTTTACATAATAAAACAGGCGAGATATTCATTCACCAAATTATGATGACTGAGCAGTGTTGTTTTGACACTGGTGAGGCACTCCCAGGAAGGGATATCGATTTGTGAGGGACAGGGGGAAGAACAGTTGATATTGAATATTCACTTGTGGGCGTTTAACATTCTACAGGTGAGGTGAGGTGAAATTGGGTTTAACGTCGTGCTTGAGAATATTTCGCTCATATGACGATGTGCATGCGTGTGTATGTGTATGTGCGGCTGCTTGTACTAGCCCAGACTTAAGGTAGTTTTTTTATAGTGCTAGCCCACTGAGATACCATGCCGCAGTGATGCATGAATACCCCACTCAGACACATTATACTGACTCTGAGCCGACCAGTCCTTGTTGTACCCATTAATGCCGAGCGCCAGGCAGGAACCAACAAGTACCATATGTTAACGTTTTTTTTGGTATGACGCGGTCCCAATTCCACAGTAGCAGACAGAATAGAAGAACGTCAGATTAACAGTTATTTACTGTTTTATGTGTGCGTCTTGTACAATGAGACCACATCACATGGTAATGTGGAGGCATGTACATATGAAGCCACAGTCGGCTTTCAAACCACATCACATGGGAATGTGGAGGCATGTACATATGAAGCCACAGTCGGCTTTCAAACCACATCACATGGGGATGTGGAGGCATGTACATATGAAGCCACAGTCGGCTTTCAAACCACATCACATGGGAATGTGTATATCCACATATGGAGGCACATGTAGTGTGTGTGTGTGTGTGTGTGAGTGAGTGAGTGAGTTTAGTTTTTCGCCACCTTTAGCAATATTCCAGCAATATCAGGGCAGGGGACACCAGAGACGGGCTTACCACCATGTACCCATGTGGGGAATTGAACCCGGGTGTTGGGCGTGACGATCAAGCTATAACCACGAGGCTACCTCACCGCCCCGCCACATGTAGCATTCGAATCACAAAACATTATTTCCACCAAAGAAGATAAGCATATGAAGTACTTCCAAATATGCATGACAATTGCGTTCGGGGGAAATGCTAGGGTGTCCTACCGGCTGCACTAGTCGCAAAAACACGCGCAAAAAGCACTTATCTTTACCTTTAATTTCATTGGTCAATGACGCTTTAACAAAGTTTCCGTGTCGCCCCTCACAGAGGTGTGACAACTGAAAAATATTACCCACTGCTACGGTGACCATAGAGCTCTCCGCCGAGAAGCTGTGGCGCTAACAATCGTATGACGTCATAATAGCAACGCATAAAATTATTATTGGAGTTCGAAAACCGTTCGATTAGTTGCTCTTGAGTTGTTATTGTGCACATTTATTTCACCGACTTTCACTACTTTTAAAAACTATTTTTACATTGAATCCTTTGCACAGTCAACTCAAGTTTTACGACTGTCAGAATATGTTTCACTGATTTTAAAGTCAATCAAGAGGCAGACGCATTTTATTTTACATGTCCTTATGGTCGGTAGCGATCTTCCAAATAAAAATAAAATGATATTTTTGTGCATTTAACATGGCGGTAAGATAAATGCGTTGGCGTAGCTGCTCCCTCGGGTGTATGGTCGATGTGCGCCGCTGTGGCGATGTGCATACCTCGCCTACTGAAACCGAACGCAAACCGAAGCGTTCATCATCAACCACCCTACCGACTTTGGTGACACTTTGGCACCAAGGGCGTGCATCAGACCGTATTGCCCTCGACGAAGCATGCAACCCATAGTGTCATTATTTTGGCTTTTTCATTCAATTCTCCTCCTTTGGTACCTTATACTGTAGTTCATGAATATAACAGAGTAGCGGGAGGTGAGAACAATTGAATGAAAAAAGCAAAACTCACTATAAAGACCCATTTTAACTTCTGTCGTAACCACGATGATGTACGCCTAACGACAGTCACCAAGCCGGCTGAGTAACTACGATTGATGAACGACTTTGTTGGCACCAGCGGCATGTTACTACTAATTGACATCATTTCGCCACCGAAGAACGCCGTATTAGCTAATACTGTATCATTTTGACACATTTGGAAGATGCCCGCTGATAAACCGAACGTCGGTATCTTCGACTTTGATCATACTTGACTTGTGCAAAACCAATCAATAAAAATAGTTTAAAACAGTGAAAGTCGGTAATGTTTACAATGAGCTTCAAAACAGCTAATGCGTTATATTATGACGTCATACAATTGTATTCAACTTCTCGGCAGGCTGACGATAACAGCAGTACGGTTGTCTATACAGGAAATTCGACAAAGCGTCGTTGACCAACAATTAAGGTAGATAAGCGCGTATTTTCAGTACTGCTGGTAAGGTTACTGCGAACACCGGTATTCATCTCTATGTTTGGAGGCCCTTTCGCTAACGCTCTTTGATTGAAACTTTGTCGAAATGCTATCGGGCGACGACACCGTGGTGGCGATCGTCATATTTTCAGTGACGTAATTGACTGCTGCTTCTCTGATCCCCTGCTGATATTGGAATTGGTGACTGGCTTTCACTTTCCTTTCACGCACACACGTAACCTTCCATATCAGACCATACACATTCCCCGTGACCAATGATTTGAAAACCATTTTATTCCCTCCCACATCCCCGTATTGATATTGATTTTACCGACTTTCTTCATAATACGCTCTCCACATTCAATGATAACGGTTTGGCGACGTGGCTTCGCTATATTACTGCGTATTCAATATGATGCTCGACAACATAAACTGAAACCAAGCCAACTGTTAATCGACGTTCATTCTGTCTGCTACTGAATTGAAGTTCCGCGTAAAACGTTAACATATGGTACTTGTTGATTCACTGGCATCATCGGTAGCACGGCGCAGAGATTTGATCGGCTCGAAATTCATTCAGCTCTTCGATGCGGTGGTATTCTATCACTGCGGCGTATTCCATCTCGAAATGAACTAGCACTATAAAAACTACCTTTAAGTGAACTGGCTAACGACACTACGCACGCATACATCGTCATATGGTAATAAACGCGACGTTAGGGCTTAATTTCTCACCTGCACCTGTCGCCCGCAATTTCAATGTTCAATATCGCTTTGTCCCCACGACTCCCTCACAAATCATTATCGGAGATATCGCCGGTAAAGCTGGCACACTGCTCGTCATCGCCAATTGACGAATAATATCACCGCCGTGTTATTATGTGGCATTAAATAAATGCGATACAATAAACCAATGAACTGTTAAAGGATTCCGGGAACCAAAGTCATTATTGTTAATATCTGGAAGAGTCATCGTGTATTATGTTTACACGAATTGATCCAGCTACGGCATGTTCCCGCCATTTGGGTTACGCTTTCGGTAAAGTTCAAAATTCAGTATAACCGGCACTGAGAATCGTAGTCTTCCCTCTCACCCACCACGTAACGTTACAGGCGACTGACACCGACCGATTAACGATGATATTTCGAAGAACGACAATGCGGTATCTATGCTAAAGAACTGAATAATCTAATATAACATATCGTTGAACAGCAATGGCGGACGAAAGGCAACGTTTTATTATGCGTTACGAGTTTAAACTCCGGGAACTAGACCGGCTCTCTTGGCGCTGAAGATGGTCGTGAAGTTGTGTCCAGTGAATATAACCGACTATCTTAACGCTATGGAAGCTTGAACTCCGTTCCCACAAGAACGATCGTGGCGCTCGGGCGATCGTAACTCCATGAACAACATGGAAACCACGACTTCGTTGGCACCTGCACGAAGGTGACGGCCCCGACAAATGCACCTATCTGACTGGTGCGCATGAGCTGTCCGTAATGATT